ATCTATCTATCTATCTATCTATCTATCTATCTATCTATCTATCTATCTATCTATCTATCTATCTGATACAATATTAAATGATATAAAATATATTAATCTACTTGATATAGAAACCAAAACACTTTTTCAATTAACTTGTCAGCTATCAAAACCCTTTACAGGTGGTTTTTGGAGATCAGGTAACTGCATATTTGTATCATAACTTAGAAACAATAGTGTGTATGTTAAGTGTTTCCTAAAATCGCTTTCTTAAACAAATAAGGCACACAGATAGTAAGTAAATAAGTATTAACATGAATAATCACACTAAAGTTTGAAACTAATATGGTAGCAATATAATATATCATTGGTGAATCATTCATATTACTGGCATGAGAAAATGGACCACAGAGGACAATGTATACATTCATAAAGGAGATTTGTGCTAATTGCCTACCTTGTCTGGTATATTCATCAGATTCCCTGGGGACTAAATCTTTTACCCGATTTCCATACAAGAGTCTGGAAGAATCATGATCAAAAGCTTTCAATGTTTCACTTGAACTGTAGGACTTCTGAGTAGGCACTCTGCATTCTTCATTTTCTGTGGAAGAATTTGTATAACGCCTTTCCTTGTCTCTTCTGCTCTTTGTCAGGGAGCAATAAGGTCTGCGTTCTTTCACATCCATGCTTCATTCCTTCTGTATGCACGTCAGATAATACCACTTGGAATTCTTCTATACATTCAATTATTCACCTGGAACAGAATTAAAGAGAGTAGTATAAGTTGGAAACAGATTCTATATTATGTGTGTTCTATCAACTCAAATGTGTATTATAAGATTATTCATTCTTTCCATAAACAAATACCATCATGAAGGAGAAATGGGACCCACTTTCAATTTCCAACTTTTAAAGCTATCGGAATCTAGAGATTTGTGCAAATTTCAGCTATATAAATCCTTACACAATACCAATTATATTTTATGTATTTATGTATTTATTCTCCAGTCTGTGTGAATACCACATCAAATATATTATGTTGTCTGAATCTTCTAAACTGGTAATAACTTCATTCTTTTCACTCAGATGTGTTTTAATTAGGCTCAACAAAGATTTTAATGTAACATTTGGTTCTCTTACAGTTTAGGTGAAAGTTATTCCTATTATGGGGTTTAATCATGAAATATGATTTTAAACATACACATACACACACACACACAAACATTTATGTACTATTTTGTTAGTTATTAGCTTCAATTTAAAAATAGTTTTTGCTTTCAGTCAGGTATAGTAAATATTCTAGATAAATTTTATGTGTAGAAATGTAATACTGTAGAAACAATATTAGGAAAACTGTGATGAATTAATCTACATATACTATGCGCACAATTATTAGGCAAGTGAATATTTTGACCATATCATCATTTTAATGCATATTTTCCACCTCCAAGCCTGTATAAACTTGAATACGTAGTAGATATCAGGTAATGTGTATTTGTGTAATGAGGGAGGGTATATCAAGGTGTGCATAATTATTAGGCAGCTTTGTTTCTTCAGACAAAAAAGATTTAACTTACTCTAAAAAGTCAAAAATTGTAAAAAGTCTTTCAGAGGGATGATCTCTCTTATGAGACCACTCTTTCTTTTACAGATGTGTATTCATAAAATCATTTATTTGCTATTAAATAGTACTTTCTTATCTGCAACTGAAAATTCTTCATGGTTTAATTATGAATAATTCCTGATTTCTTTCTCACATAAATCATTGAATTCACATACGTCAATGTTTTTACGGTTAAAACCTCTTCAAGATAAGAATGACTAGTTAAAAATTGCAAGCTATTTCACAGGAGTAATTGGAATAGCTTTAAGAATTCAGGTACAGTAGAACCTCTGGTCACGGCCATAATTTGTTCTATAACTTTGGTTGCAAACTAATTTGGTCATGACCAAAACCTAATTTTGGAAATTTGGCATTTACAAAAAAAATTGTGTGGAGGAGGAAATTGGCCACAAAAAAAAAAAATTGTGAATTTTTTGGTCAGAACCCGATTTGGTCATGGTCAGAAGCGTTTGTGAACAGAAGTTCTACTGTATTATAATCAAAAGGCTAATTTCTTGCAAAGCAGCATTTCAAATAAAGCGATGATGACAATTCCTGGGAAGATTAGGGATGTGAAAAAGTAAGTACACTCCATGTAAAGTTTTTTCTATTTTTTTAAGATGTGGACACACCAATATTTTATTTTTTGATTAAACTATAAATGTACTGTAATTGAACTAAAATTGAAAAGTTGACAGCATTTTGATGGGATTTAGATCTGTGCTTTGATTTGATCATTCTAGAGCCTGCATTTTTTCCTCCAGAAAACATAGTATCAGGGTTATGAACCCAGATGGGCACCACATTCCTCAGCAGGTGCACAAGAGGTGGCCGGCACGCAGAGGCCAATGGTGTCCAGCAGCAGCCCCAGCCCGCTGGCCCCTTGGCTGGCACATGCTGGGGCTGCACAGTCCACACAGTGCAGGTGAGTTGATTACCTGTCCCAGCAGCAGACTAAGGCAGAGGTGTGGGGGAGGCATGCAAGTTAGGTGTGTAAGTTAGGTGTCTCTTTGCTACAAAAGTAAAACCCATAGGCAGTTCCAGCATTAAATTTATATTTCACATGTTCTTTTTCCAATCAGATATATAAACTGTATTATTTTAAGTGTTTTGCTTAAAAAACAGATAATGCAGCTTAATATTTGCTTTCCATTTGTCAGACATTCTATGAATTGGAATGGGATAACTCGCCCCGTCCATCTCGCCAACTTGCAGAACAACTCAATGAGAGAAATTAGTGTGGGAAAACTGATGAGAAGTACAAGTGAATTGCAGCAGGCCTTGTCTTGCTTTAGGTTTGAAGCTTCTCATGGAGGAAACATGGCATTCCCAGGTATCCCATGCACGGATCCAGGCCAAGGTCATAGTGCATCTGTGAGAAAAGGCCCACTGCCTCCGCTTCTTTCTGGCATGCTTGCTGCAAGGACCAGCCTCTCTGCTGACATCCAGGTACTAGTTTTGTACCTTCAGCCTTGCCAAATGCACAGGGCTGAAAAGGCCTTCAATAGGACCATTTGGCAGATTCATTTTAAAAGAGGCTGCAGATTTCTCTGAGGCTATTTACATAGTGAGAAAGAATTCCTAATTGGTCAAGTAACATTTTTCCAGCCAATCAATGAAGGATTCCTTGGAGACTCCTGAGAACAGCCTGTTTGCTCCCATTCCGCCACAAGGAGCCAAACATAGAAAAAAATGCTTGACAACAGCAGCCAAAATTGCAAACTGTAATCATGTGACATAACAACCAAATGGGAAGTGATGTCATAAATCCACTGTGATCATATCATTTTTCTGTTTAGCAACTGCAATGTTTAGCAACAAAGGTTAACAGTCCCAATTATGAGTGCTAAGTAATTCTAGTAAGTACAGGAAATCAGCAAGTACAACCTGCTGGTTTCCTGTTCTGACCACATAGCACTTAAGAAGGCAAAAATTATGAACAACTCACTCTTACTGGTGCATGCTCACTTTCCTCATTTATCAGGAGGAAGTCTCAAATCCAGGGAGCCCCCACTGGCACTTGCACAACATCTGCCTACCAAGTTTAACATCAATTCCCAATGAAAAGCCAAATGGGTTGCTAAATGCCCAGATATAGGAAGACATATAAACGACTCCACAAAAAAGCTGCCAGGCTTTGAACCATCATGTCAGCAATGGACAATCCTAAATAAGGTTCACTCCTCACATGGTATCTGCCATGACTCTCTGTATAAATGGGGCATAATACCCTCCCCTCAGTGTGACTGCAGAGTGTCCCACATCAAACTGTAGATCACATCATAAGCTGAGGACATTTATTGGTCCAATATCTGATTTTTATAATATAAATGATGTTCCACTTCAATAGTTAAATGACCTAGACATTGATATTTGAATATAGATCTTTTTAACATTTGTATTTTATTGGGTTATACTAATGTAGTTAAAATGTTAATTTATATTGCCAGCCCATGTATGATGTCTCATATCCTAAATAAATAAATACATGTGTTTGCTAAGTGAAGATTACTGGGAGAAGGCGATGGCTTCAATACAATCAGCAACTGAATACAATAACAGTTACACTTCATGGTCAAATTCAATCTGTAGTTGACATAAATTGAAAGCCTAGTATGCTACTTGTGATTAGAGATAGGAATGCCAAAGTTGCAATTAAGGAATAAAATTTTGTTGGATTGTATGGTTTAAGAAACCAACATGTAGTAGAAATATGACTTAGAAAATTATTCCATTCCAATTATTTCTTCATTCCTAATATTGTCATTAAACAATCAAAATTACACCCATAAACATGGATATCACCAAATTGACCACATAGAAATTAACTATATTATTGCTAAAAAGAGATAGAGGAGCTCAGTTATAGCATCAAATACATAGTCAGGTATTTACTATGGAACAGGTTGCATGGAAAATACCTGAAAAGGAATCATAGCTCAACACTGTTCATATATACAGCCAAGATATTGCAATGGAGTTGGACTGGTCATATGTGTCACCCTCACCATCAATAACAGAAACATTGTGAAAACTAAAGGAATAAAGATACCTATGAAAGTAACATCAAGAGCCTGAGGACGATAACTAAAAATACCTGGGCAGTATTAGAATGATAAACATATAGAAGAATAACAACTATGTGAATGTATACTTAAAATGTTACGTAAGGTAAGAGAATAAAAAATAAAAAAATTTCTGGAAAAGTCAAAAATCAGCAGAGGAAATAATAGCAGACTGGACTCAAGCAGAACTAAAAGCCCTGAGTAGAAAGACTAGAAAAATAATGACAATAAATCATGCTCTTCAACTAACGTTGACAGGCTACCTACCAAGGAAAATAGGTGGAGATGGAGTGTTGCAAATACACCACACAACTGAAGAAGAAACAGGCTTTGGGAGAATATCTGAAGAACAATGAAGAACATACACTTAAGCTGGTATATCAAGAAGGCTTACTAACTACTGGAGATACCAAACTGACCTACAAGAAAAACCAAATGAAGACTAGAAAAGGGACATGGCAAGATAAGGTATTACATAACTAGTAAACACACACACACACACACACACACACACACACACACACAATACGAAAAGACCTTGCAATGGCTAAGAGCAGGAATTAAAAAAAAAGACAGAAGGGTTAATTTTGGCTGCACAACATCAAGTCTTAAGAACAAATGCATACAAAGCTAGAAATGAGATTTTATTTATTTAGCGCATGGCAAATACATGGACTTATAGTAATTCAAATGTTAATGTCCAGTCCACCCAGCCATTCAAGGATAGGGTGGTCTATGTTGAAAAAATCAGACACTGGGCTGGTGTAAGCTCTTGATGGACATTCAGACACAATGTGGTGGATATTTAGTCGAGGAACACCACAGTCACACTGAAGGGTGGAGACAAGACGCCATTTAAACTATGAGTCAATTGGCAGCCAGATTACATTGAAGAAATGAGATGATAGCAACAGAGAGCAAATTCTGTCTCTACAAAGAACATACCACCTAGTTTTAAAGACTTTTAAATCCAAACAAATCCAAACTGGCCCACAAAATACCTGATATTGCGGAAAAGAAATAAGTCTGATTCATTAATATTGCAATATCAGGTATTGCAATCATGCAGGTGATGCACAAATTGAA